CCTCTCACAGAGCATCTCTAGGACTATACTCCTTTATCGCATTAGTGTCAAATTGAGAACTATATAATAACACTGAAATCTCTATCTAAAATTCTCCCATCATCCTCTATTTCGGTTACATACTTCAAAATACATATTAAACAATTCCAACAAATACAATATGTACATCATTATGGCCTGGAGCAATAGCACAGCGGGTAGGGCATTTGCCTTGCACATGGCTGACCCGGTTTCAATTCCTTCAATTCCTCTGCCCCTCACAGAGAGCCCAGCAAGCTACCAAGAGTATCCCACCCACATGGCGAGCCTGGCAAGCTTCCCATGGTGTATTTGATATGCCAAAAATAGTAACAAGTCTCACAATGGAGACGTTACTGGTGCCTACTCAAGCAAATAGATGAACAATGGGAGGACAGTGCTACAGTGCAGTGCGACATCATTATATCTCTCTGAACATACCCTAGGAGCAAATATGTTGTTTAGTCACAGAAATCCACATTTTTATTCAAATAATATTTACTTTTTAAATCCGCTCATTGTTCTTGTCTTCATAACTCATACCCTCAACCTTCACATTACATTAGTAGAGAAGTATTCTATGCTGCCTTCCACACTAAATTTTCTATAAAATAAATCATGGATTTCATAAATATGAAATTTGCAGTTGAATCTTGCAGCTTGGAAATTTATCATATGGCTATTATTATAATATATTTTATATATAAATTATATAAGTTATATATTATATAAACATATATATATATTATGACTTATATTTGGACTGAAGCGATAGCACAGCAGTAGGGCGTTTGCCTTACAAGCAGCCAACATGGCTGACCCGAGTTCAATTACTCCGCCCCTCTTGGAGAGCCCGGCAAGCTACCGAGAGTATCTCGCCCACATGGCAGAGCCTGGCAAGCTACCTGTGATGTATTCGATATGCCAAACACAGTAACAAGTAGTCTCATGATGGAGACGTTACTGGGCCCACTCGAGCAAATCGATGAACAATGGGAGGACAGTGACCGTGACATATTTACCATATGAGTGTTATTATAACTTACTTTAAAATATCATCAGCCTTTTAAAAAGATATTTTCCACCACTTTCAAAATAAACATCGGTGGATTCCAAGTTATATTACTGAGTAGAGGTTAGAATACTTAAAACATTTCTAGTGATTTTCTAATTATTAAATAGAAATAAATACCATGACTGTTTAGAATTAGAACTTTTTTAAAAAATTTGTATTAGTGAGACACCATGAGGTACAGTTGTAGACTTACAAATTTTTGTGCTTGGGGTTCAATTATACAATGATCAAATACCCATCCCTCCACCAGTGCCCATTTCCCACCACCACGGATCTAGAATTAGAACTTTTAACTCTAAAATATTTTTACTAGTCCTTTTCAATCTGAATATACAATTCTTAGAGCACAGGGAACAGTATATTCTCCAAAGTTCTTTCATTTACTCAATATAAGAGTAATCAAGCTCCTCCAAATGGAGACCTGAGATAGCAAAATCTAAAAATAATTAGAGTTGAAGGTTTCTAACTGAGATGTCATGTGCTTGAGTATATATTCATCATTCTTTTTTTTGAATAAATAAAACCAATACTTTTTATTTCTTATATTTTTTTATCATTTTTATTAGTGAAACACCATTCGATACAGTTATAGACTTATGAATTTTTGTGCTTGGGTTTCAGTTATACAATGATCAAGTACCCATCCCTCCACCAGTGCCCATCCTCCCCCACCACGGGTCCTAGCATCCCTCCCACCCCCCATCCCCCCCGTCCCACCCTGCCGCTGTGGCAGGGCATTCCCCCTTGTTCTCTCTCTCTTCTTTTGGGTACTGTGTTTTGCAAGAGAGGCATTGAGTGGCAATCATGTTTGGTCTATAGACTACTTTTGGCATGTCTCTCCCACCCTGGGAGGGTCTTCACAACACCCTTTATTTGGTGCTCTCTTCTCTATCTGAGCTTCCTTTTCACCTAGCACATGTGGCTGGCCTTCAAATCATGGAGCAAAATTCCTGGTACTATTCTCAGCCATTCCTGGGTGTTAGGCTCCCGTTTTGTTGCTTTATGTTCCCCAGATGAATGCAATCTTTCTGTGTCTATCCCGCTCTTTCTGACCCATTTCGCTTAACATGATACTTTCCATGTAGTACCACTTGTATGTAAATTTCATAACTTCATCTTTTCTAACAGCTACATAGTACTCCATTGTGTAAATGTACCAAAGTTTCTTTAACCAGTCATCTGTTCTCGGGCACTCAGGTTTTTTCCAGATTCTGGCTATTGTAAAGAGTGCTGCAATGAACAAACAATTGCAGATGTCACTTCGACTATACCTTTTTGCCTCTCTGGGATATATTCCCAGGAGTGCTATAGCTGGGTCAAATGGGAGATCAAATTCTAATTTTTTGAGGATCGTCCATACTGTTTTTCAAAAGGGTTGGACCAGCCGGCATTCCCACCAGCAGTGAAGGAGGGTCCCTTTCTCGCCACATCCGCGCCAGCACCTGCTGCTTTTGTTCTTGTGGATCTGGGCCAGTCTCTGTGGTGTGAAATGATATCTTATTGTTGTTTTGATCTGCATCTCTCTGATGATTAGTGATGTAGAGTATTTTCTCATGTGCCTTTTTGTCATTCGAATTTCTTCCCAAAGAAGTTAGGTAGAACATTAGGTAGATTGATTCCTCCCATTTTCTTTTTCCCAAAATTGCTTTACCTATTCGTGGGGGCTTATTGTTCCATATAAATTTCAGGAGTGTTTGCTCCATTTCTTTGAAGAATGTCATGGGTATCCTTATAGGGATTGCATTGAATTTTTTCCTGAGCTCATGGATTCTTGAGAATTATATGAGAGATTTGCATAGTAAACTCAGATGCTTAAAAAGAAAGTTCAAAGTGTAGTTTAAGTATATATTAGTCCCAATCCCACTTCAGTGGGCTGGTCTCTCCTTTTACCCCATTATATCACTTGTCCTGTCCCTTGATGTCCAGTCCAGATGATAATATCATTTTCCTGTACCTCACCATCCATTCACCTCCAATGAATGTGGCTTGCTCTTGTCCCCATGCCATCTTCTATCCAGAGCAGACAGCAGTGTCCTAAATATGGGCTACCTTATATTTAGGTTGCAGCATTTGAAGACTCATTTTCTTGTTTCATTTTAGGGAGTGTGTTTCCTCCGTCATCAGCAAGAGTATTACTGGGAATCTGATAGAGATACCAATTCTCAGGCATCCCTTGGGGCCAGAGGGTTGGACCTAACACTCTGTGGTATAATATCTGCAATGTACTTGACCTTGCTTTGTTTAAAGTAGTAGCTAAAGACACTGCTACAATCATAAAACTGTCCAAAGCACTTGGACTTAAACCCAAAGGACTTTCCGGCTATTTTAAAGCAGTGTGTCTATTTCTTGGTTCTAGTTCTGAATTCACTTTCTGTAAACTTCAGTTTCTTTCTAATCCTGCTCAAATTTCATTTCACATTACACTCTGTATCTTGTCTATGATCTGACAATGTCACTGATTCTAGTAATTAATCTCCTAGTTGCCATACTATTGGTAGAAAATCCAGGCAATTGGCATTTAAAAAAGAAATTAGAGTATTTAATATATTTTACATAGTTTTACGTGAAGGGTGATAAAGTGTACGTAGGGTTTTTCTATCATTATACACATGTCTTTGCCACACTAACAGTGCAGTGAGGTGCAGTCATTCACTTCCAGATTACGTTCACTAGATACCTGTACTTTATACCTATTCTAATAAACTTTTTTGTTTACATTTTACTTCATTTTCTGGTAAAATATAAATCACAAAACTAAGTGACTATACAAAATGAACTCTGAATTGGATGTCACATTGAATTCTTACAATGACTATTTTTCAATATTTTATGAAATCACTATCTATAAATCTGCATAGTGTTGTAAACTCTTAGTGTCTTCTCTGTGATTCAAAGCTCAACACTAAATGTGATGAAAAAGTCTTATATACTTTGGTAAATTAAAAATCAAGCCCAGATTGTATGTAGAAACTCTCATAAAAAAAAGTGTTCTTTGCTACTTTCTAAGTCCTGGAAATGCCTATGATTTACTTTGAAGAGGGAATAGCAATGATGTCATGTGAGTTCTTGAGTGGGACTTAGGAAGTTTTGTAACTTTGGCATTCACCCTTTGAAACACATTTTCAGTAATGTAAAGAAGTTCATTTTACCTACAAGAATAGATCCTGTGGAGATGAACCAAGCTACCTTAGCTCAAAGTAAGCCAGCAACTCCCACGCACGTTAGTGAACCATCATTAAGCTCTCAAGTCAGTGGATTCTTCTAAAGGTAAACACACCAGCAAGACTAAAAGCAACAAACAGAAAAAAAACAATCCACTAGGCAAGGGAACTGCGAGATAAATTTGCTTTAATTAAAAAGTGTTTCGGAAAATTTTTGTACATTAGTACTAAACTAAAAATACAAATGATGAATAATGTTCTGAATTGTTTATAATTTTCTATAATTTATTTTGGTTATAGTCTGATAAGTGTGGATCATATATTTTTGGAGTGAGTCCTTTAGATTTGCTTCAGTTAGAATTTATTCTAAAATAATAAAAGGCAAACACAGGGGATGTGTTATTAATTATCAAGGAAAATCTGGTCTCACTGCCAGCTGTATATTTCAGAAAAAATATTCGATCATTCTAACTATGATTCCGTGTTTTTTTTATGACAAGGTCATAGTCAATGAACTTCTCACTATGCATCTACAATATGATGAAGAAGAAAATTTCTATTCATGTGTACACAGCATTATAAAAATTATTTCTAAATGACAACTTAGCATATAATACTTAGGGCTATATATGCTAAGTTATCCTCCCAAGGAGACAATATTATGACTTTTAAAATTTCTGTAAAAATTTTAATAGGTAATCTTGTTATTGCTGTTTTTATGAACCATTAGTTTATATCATTTTTTCCAGGAGAGAGTGTGAACACATTCCTCCACTATCACAATTTATGCAGTTGAGTTTCCCACATTTGGAGAAATCACAGGAATCAGCATGTTCAGGGTGCAAAGGATAATCCTTGCCTTGGGAAAACCACCTTTGTGATCATGCATTCCCCTGCCAGCTAAGTCTATATCATTTTATTCTTGAACCACACTTTTACTTTCATGCAGTTACTCAGGTATGGGATGAAATACAGTATTTCAAGTATATTATTTATATACCTTCTATAAAATATATTATTTAGAAACACAGAAGGATGATCTATATAGTGCATATTAACTCTTCAAAATAATATTCAGACATTGTTAATTTTTTAATTATCCAAAATAGATTTTGAATTTTTACCTTGGACCAGAATACTACCCTCAGCTCCGTGGACACAAAAGTGAAAAAAATAGGAGGAAATCCCTCTCTATTTTTCATAAAAATAGGAGGAAATCCCTTCCATTCATATTCAAGAATGGGGAAAGACAAGTAATAAATAAAATAAGTAAGTATATTATGCTAAAGTTGTTTATGTATGTTTTTGGATATTAAAGCATGTTAGATATATGTTTTATACATAAATTTTATATATAAATATATTTTATATAGCCTGACAAGCTACCCGTGGTGTACTCGATATGTCAAAAACAGTACCAATGAATGGTCCTCATTCCCCTGATCCTAAAGGAGCCCCCAATATGCCATCAGGCTGCACTTGCATGTGACAGGGACGAATGGAGATGTTACTGGGCCCGCTCGAGCAAATTGAAGAACAACTAGGTGATAGTGATAGTTATAGTTAGATATATAATAGGTAAAACAAGATTATGAAAAAGATGTAATTGAAGATGCACATAACAATCAAAGCTAATGTGGAGAAAAAGGGAGCAATGCGATTCTACACAATGTGTTTGGAAAATCTCCTTGAAATACTGCATTTCAGCAAAAGTTTAATGTGGGCAATAATTAAATCTATTTAAAGATCTGGAAAGGGTTCAATTTAGAAGGATATGAGTATAAGCAAGAAAAGAAAAAAAACCTTGAAGCCGTAATACCTTCAAAGAATATCTGAGGACTCAGCAGAAATGGAAAATAGTAAAGTATTGCCAAAAGTCATAGAGATATCTGGAGGTAAGACAGCCAAGTGTCTGTAGATATAGACTTGTGCGAAGTTTTTTTTCTCTTTTTTCCTGGATTTTGTTTGTTTTGCTTTTTAAAATACTTTGTATTTTATTCCTCAGGATAGAATACTTTACAGAATATGCTTTTATTTTTATTTATAAATCATTACTTTGATAACTCTGTAAAAGTCTTGGTAATGAAAGAAGGTATAAAAATGATGGAAGCTCAGATTGGAATGATAGTATGAAAGGAGTTAGCTAATGCTTCAGATTCTAAGTATTATTTAGGAAGTGAGATAACATGATCTACTAGATAATATACATAAAAAATGAGAATTTCAGGTAAATTTAATATGATGCCAATATTACTTAAAATAATATATGTATTAGTTTAAAATGTGAAGATCTGAATAATTACTTCTTATGTAAGTGTTTATGGCATTCTCATATTTGTTATAATCATTCCCATGTAGTTGACTACTTGCCACATTTTAATAAAATATATTTACTGAGCTTCCAGTGTGATAAACCATGTTAGATCGAAAAGTTATGAAACATATTCCTATTCCTTGAGTAAAATATAATGATACATTTAGGAAAACTATATATTATGCATATATATAATATAGATATTTAATTTTTATGTATCATATGTAATATGTCAATGTATAAATAATGATTCTAAATTCAAAAAAATTGCACCTGTACTCAGCTTCCTGAATTGACAAATGAAGTTTGATAAATTTGCAATACAAAAAAATAATGTGAGACTGAACAAGTTATCATAATCAATGATTATCCTTGAAATTAAACAGTGAAGGTGAAAATAATACCTTCAACTTACAATAAATTCTTATTACTCATGGTAGCTCGCATTTAGAAAATTACTGCTTACACTCAATTACTGAAAGCCATATAATTACGCTTAGAAGAAATCCAGGATTAGGTTCCTGAAAACCTCTGGTCACAATTTGACCAAAGATCAAGATATATAGTTTGACTTAGACCTTCACGCTCACTATTACTATTGGGTTTTTGGTGCAGTATTAATTGAAGTGGGGTTAATGACTTATTGGTCTAATGAGTTTCTGGTGGTTATACTGCCCTACTGAAAGCAAGTTTAAGGATAAAGCACCACTGATCAAGCAAATGGAAACAAACATAAACAGATGGAACTACATCAAACTAAGAAGTTTCTGTACTTCAAAAGAAACACTGACTAAAATACAGAAAGAGCCCACAGAATGGGCAATAATAGTTACCCAATACCCTTCTGAAAAGGATGGGAGATATGTGCTGAAAGTAGATAAAGGATTATACATGATAACCTCTCAGTATCTGTATTACAAATCATAATTCCCCAAACTAGAGAGAGAGTATGGGGAATATTCTCTGCCATGGAGGCAGGGGGAGGGTTGGAAAGGGGGGATATACTGGGGATATTGGTCTTGTGAATGTGCACTTGTGTCGAAATGGGTGTTTGATCATTGTGTGATTGTAACTTAAAATCTCACAGTGATTCAATAAAATAAAAAAAAAAGATACATAGTTTTTTGGGGGGAGGGGGTTGTTTTTGACCACATATGGCAATGCTCGGGTATTACTCCTTGCTCTGTGCTCAGGTTGGCAAGGCTCAGGGGACTGTATGAGGTGCCAGGGATAAAACTCAGATCAGCCACGTGCAAGGCAAACACCTTATCCTCTGTACTATTTCTCTAGCCCCAGTACATATTTTTATGAGTGTTTCTGTTAAATATTGCTTATTAAATATATATTAATGAGTCACTAATATTGAACTAGTGGTAGCAGTATGCATCATGAATTTTCTACTGAATGTTTATTATCTCAGTAAAGTGCATCAACCCACTTATCTCAGGAAACTATAGTACTGTAGAAAAGTGTGTGTGTGTGTGGGGGGGGGTAATTTTGAATAACAAAAATACAAAAATTTAGCACAAAAATGCCACAAGTGTAACACTTGAGAGATTGATATGAAGTCAATTTTTCCACCTGTGGTGGAAATATGTAAAAATTTTCAACATTACACACATATCTGTGAAGTTCACAAGAATTGATTATTTTATGTTATAAATAAACTGTGGTGACTAGGGAAAATTTCAAATATGGATCACTGAATAATAAATACTAAATAAATGATAAGTTAATCAACAAACTGCTTAGGTATTATATAAGATAATTGGTTAAACATAGTCAAGACATTTTACTGAAGGTATTATTTCTATCATCACAACTGGAAAAAGACAGGGAATTATCTTCATAGCACTGTAGCACTATAGCACTGTACTCCCGTTGTTCATCGATTTGCTTGAGTGGGCAGCAGTAATGTCTCTATTGTGAGACTTGTTACTGTTTTTGGCATATCGAATAGGTCACAGGTGTCTTGCCAGGCTCTGGTATGTGGGTGGGATACTCTCAGTAGGTTGCCGGGCTCTCTGAGAGGAATTGATTCCAGGTCAGCCACGTGCAAGACAAACACCCTACCTAGTGTGCTATGCTCTGTGACATGATGAATTTAGTGGCAAATGGAAATTTAATGCATAAATATTTAAAATAAAAGATCCGTGGAAGCACTGTGATATAAACTTGTGATACAATACCAGCTTACTACCAAAATGTTCATGCAAAGAAGACTCTGGGTCTATTTAAAAAATGAAAAATCACTTATCATGACACTCTCCAGTTCTACCCAAGTCACAGGAAACCGCATGAATCTTATGTTTTCTCCTGGCTGAATAATACCGCTTTTTGCATTGACCATTTCTGGCTGTGTCCCCAAACAACAATTCCACCAAAATGAACTTTTTAGATAAATTACTATAAAGAACACAAAAAAGTATACAAGAGAAACATTAAATACTATGTATAGTAAAATGCTAAAAAGAACTTTTCATTAAAATAGGAATAAGGAGAGGAAACAAGAAAGATAGGAAGAAAATATAGAAATAGTAACAACAAAAAGAAAAACAATGGCCACAGCCAGTGGTGCCCAGGGCTTCCCCTGGCCCTGAGTTTGGGGATCACTCCTGAAAAGCTCAGAGAACCAGAAGAGGTACCAGAGATCAGACTCTGCTCAGTCACACACAAGGCAAATGCTTTATACCCTGTCCTATTGCTCTCTACTGCCACATCCCCCCCCCCACACACACACAGTTTCTAATGATAGATGTAAATCCAAACCTAAACACAGTTACATTCAATGTGAACAAATTAGAGATTATGATCAGAAAAAGGGATAATCTTATTGAATATTAATCTGTAACAAATCCAAAGAGAAAATATGTTAAATGTTTAAATGCAGAAAGACAGGGATGGTGAAGTTTAAGCTGTTCAGATAAACAAGTTAAAGAAACGTATGGCCTCTAAAATTTCTCTGAAATAAATACTAAGTTTTCTACAAAAAGAAAGAACTCTCACTCGGAAGTAGTAACATACTTAAAAGTAATAAATTATGGGAGTTGGCAGGGGTGGACTAACTTCAGGATAAAGAATAAATTGGATTTTTTAACCTTAAAATTCAATTTTATATTTAAGATGTAAATATCAAGATAACTTTAAGACCAAAAAATAATAAGAAGGGTAAAGGACAAAGGTGAACTATGAAAACATCCAAGTGCCGTATAGAAAAATAGCAGTTTATTCTATGATACCTATAATCTCACTAAATTTTCAGTGGCCTTAATTCACCAATCTAGAGTGAACAGATAAATTAAAAACAAAAACAAAACTCAACAGAGAGAGAGAGAGAAAGAAAGAGAGACAAAGTGCCTCCTGCAAACATAGAAGACGGAGTGAGGGGTGGGGAGAGGAGTGGAGGGTGAGAGGAAATTGATAATGGGAAAAAGTACAATGGTGAAGGGATGGGTGTTAGAATATTATATGATTGAAATCCAATCATGAACAATTTTGTAAATGTGTTTATCACTGTGACTCAATTAAAATAATAAGTAAAGTAAGTAAGTAAAGTAAAGGCCCTCCCGTTGATCATCGATTTGCTCGAGCGGG